GAAGAAACTATGGTACATTTACACAATGGAATTCTACTCAGCGGAGAGAGATAAGGAGCTTACACCCTTTGCAATGGCATGGATGGAACTGGAGAGCATTATACTAAGTGAAAAAAGCCAGGTGATGAGAGACAAATACCATATGATCTCACCTTTAACTAGAACCTAATCAACAAAAGATAAAAAGCAATCAATATATAACCAGAGACATTGAAATTACGAACAATCTAACAATAGCCAGAGGGGAGCGGGGAGGAGACTGTGGGTAGAAGGGTTTTCAGGAACTACTGTAAAGGACATATAGACAAAACCAAGGGGGAGGGTGGAAGCAAGGGAGTGAGGTGGGTTTGGATTTGGGGGAGTAGGAAGGGGAAAATGCAGAAAACTGTAATTGAACAACAATAAAGTAATTTATGAAAAAAAAGAAAATAAAATAAAAATCTATGTAAACTACGAAATTATTAATTTTTTGAAGCCATAAGACAGCTGAGGTAAAAAGACAATGAAGTAACCTAAAATCAAGGAAAGATAGGATCATGCAAAGATAGATTATCAGGAGAACTGTCTCATTTATGGCAGAGCTCAAAAGAAGTGATTTGGGTGAAAAACAAACAGTTAAAAATAATTCATCTAGTTTTATTTTTTGCATGTTTCTGTCCAACTTTTCCAACACCATTTATTGAATAGATTGCTTTTATCCCATTGTTTGTTCTTGCTACCTTTGTCAAATATTAATTTACTGTATAGACATAGGTTTATTTCTATACCATAGTTTTACACCATATACAAGAATAAACTCAAAATGGGTTAAAGAGAAATATAAGATTTAAAACCATAAATATCCTAGATGAAAACATAAGCAGTAAAATCTTGGAAATTTTTAGTAATATTTTTTCTGATATATCTCCTTGAACATAGGAAACAAAAGAAAAAATAAACAAACGTGGCTACATCAAACTAAAATGCTTTTGCACAGCACAGGAAACCATCAACAAAATGAAAAGATACCCACTAAGTGGGAAAACATATTCACCAAGGATACATCTCATAAGGGGTTCATGTCCAAAATTTATAAAGAAATCATATAACTCAAGACCTAAACAACAAACAATACAATTTAAAAATGGGCAAAGAACCTAAATAGACATTTCTCCAAAAAAGACATAAAGATGGCCAATAGACATACACACACAAAAAATGCTGAAGATTTATTATGATCAGAAAAATACAAATTAACACCACAATGAGCTATCATCTCACACCTGTCAGAATACCTATCATCAATAAATATACCCTGGCCACTGTGACAGTTTGTTAAAGTGTCATCCCATAAAACAAAAGGTCATGGGTTTGATTCCCAATCAGAGCACATGTCTAGGTTGTGGGCTTGATTCCTGGTCGGGGCGCATACAAGAAACAATTGATTGATGTTTCTCTCCATCTCTCTTTCTCTCCAGTCTCCTCTCTCGAAAATCAATAAGCATGTCCTCAGATGAGAATTTTAAAAATAAAATAAATAATAATAATAATAATAATAATAATCTACAAACAAAAAGTGTAGCTGCAGAAATTACTTTATTTACCTCTGAAGTTCCATGAAGGCAGGACCTGTCTGGGTCTCTCTTGATTTCTGCCTTAAACATGGTGAATAATTAACCATTTTAAACAAGTACACAATTAAACCCATAGAAATATTGAACGAAGAAATTAAGAGATCCAGACTATGGTGTGAACATTCCACTCTTCTTCATGCTCATAGATGTTCAGTCTCTGGGAGAGTCCGTAGAAAGTAGAGACTTTGCAGAAACTTAACTCAAAGTTCCCAAGGAATTGGGTCACCATTGGAATTTTACATGCTGAATTTTCAAAGTACACAGTGGGGCACAGAAAAATTCCAGATTTTTCAGGGATTGAGTTTCCAGCATGTCCACCATGACTTCTTTCACATTGCTAATATAATGAACTTCTTGAAACACACCACAAAGTCTTTTTATCCTCTCTCAATGGCTCAAAGAATGACAGGGCAGTTTCCATGGGATAAGAGAATATAGATAGAAAGATACTTTTAATTAACCTGGAAAGAGAATATTGTAGAATTTAAATATAAGACTATGGAAAGAAAACTTGAAAGTTTCCTCTAATGAAAGAAATAAGAAGTTTAAAAAGATTTTAGTCACAAAATTCCCTTGCCAGATGGATTGGTCAGGGTAAGAAAAGGCCTTACCAATTGTATTTTGTTAGGCCCTGAGGGCTTCCTTAGAAGTTTCATCCCCTTATATTTTCTAAACCACAAGTAACAGAGGATAAGAACAACTAAATGTGCTACAGAAATAGTCTATCTCTTTCAAAATGTATGTTCTGATCCCTCTGCTTCAACATTTGTGAAATGTTACCTTATGTTTGCAGTCATAAAAGAGGGCAGGTGGGAAATTAATAAAAGGTCAGAAATGCTATCTATTGTCCATTATCAAGGACATAAAAGAAGCAGCATTGAATTCTTCTGTTTTCCCCTTATCCTTTCCATCACCAATATGAGTTATTTATTCCTAGGTCTAGAGAAAGCTCAGTGTAATTCCTAGTGTTTCAGATGGGCAACTTCATATGCCTCTCTCTACTCAAGAAGTTTATAAATGTTGTGCTTCAGGAAATTATTCAGAACTGAGCACAAGAGAAAGTACATCTAACAGGTTTCACACAGGGGTGACATGATTTGTGTTTTTTGTTTGGAAAAGATCCATCTGACTTCTGAGTAAAAAGGCATTGGAATGTGACAAGAATGGAAAGGAGTGGTCAGTCAGGGGAATGTTGCAATGGTTCAGGTAAGTGAATATATCAGCCTGGCTCAGGGATGGGGTGGGGGTTGGGGAGGTGATGGATACTAAGTCAGCTGGGAATATTGGGAACATACTGAGAAGATATAAACAATAGGATTGTATAATGGATAGGTGGTAGTGGGAAATAATTGATGAGAGTAACTTTCAGTTTCCAACACTGGGCCACACAATGGATGTAGTTCCATTCAGAGAGAAAAAGACACTGTAGAAAGGGTAGTAGGAGGGTAAAGACCCTGAGTCTTATATTGGAAGGCTGAGTCAAGGTACCTTGGAGATATCAATGGAGTCAGGTAAGTAACTGGAAATGCTCTTCTAGTTCTCAGTACAGAAGTCAGAGCTAGAGATACATACATGGCTATCATTGGCATCTAAACTGTGATTGAATCTAAGGAATGAATGCTACTGCCTAGGAAGAAAGAATTTAATGAGAATTGAAGTTGTTCTGGAACCAATCCATTGGATGAAGAAATGAAGGTATGATGGAAACAAAGACACAAAAGGAGAAAGACATGGAGGAGGGGAATGGAAGTTGAATCAAGACGGGATAAAGATGGAGTGTTTCATGAGAAAGCAGTGATAAATAGCATAAGGAGTTTCTGGAAGGACCTTTAGGGACATGGAGATCATCATAACCTAAGAGATATTTGCTTTGGTGGGATGATGGGGGAGAGAAGCCATATTCACATGCAATGAGAGAGTAAATTTAAAGCAAGGAAATAGAGACAGAGAAGAGTCAAGTCTTGGTAGGTAAGTAGCTAGAAGGAAATGTTAGGCCAAGTGGTACATGTTTATAAGATAGAAAAGAAACAAACGTTTCTATGACAATTGGAAGAATACTTTTGAGAAGGTAAAGGAAGGATGAAGGGGGAAATTGATGGAGAAAGGGAAGGAGGGAGGAGAAAGAGAGAGAATGTGTGAAAAATATGTAAGGATAATTCATAAGGCATGAATAGGCACAAATGATGGGGTTCAACATGTAGTTGGAATCACTGTCTTCAGAGGCACAGGAAATAGAATCAATGATATGGCAATGTGGGGAAGATGTACACTAATGTTTGCATGGTGTGGTTGAGAGCATGCAGTTCACAGTCATCATGATAACTTGGTTTCTCTCTATGAAATAGATGGTAAGAATATTTGCTGAGAGAGGGAAAGGAAATAGAATATTCAAACGTGAAACCAGTGCTTCTGGAGGATGGTGAATAGGTGAGAGAAATGCCACATCTCCCAGGAGCACAGTTGACTCCTTTAATGGGAAAGAAGACTCAACAGGTTTAATGGAAGATGGAAGAAGAGGTAAGAAATGTAAGTAAAAGAACATCCTACATCAAAAAAATTGTTTTAATAAAAAAATAATTTTTTTAGCCCTGGCTGGTGTGGTTCAATAGATTGAGATCTGGCCTGTGAACAAAGGGGTTGCTGGTTTGATTGCCAGTTAAGGAAAATGCCTAAGTTGTGGGCCAGGTCCCCAGTAGGGGGTGCATCAGAGGCAACCACACATTGATGTTTCTCTCCGTCTCTTTCTCTCTCCCTTCCCCTCTTTAAAAATAAATAAATAAAATCTTTTTTAAAAATTAAAAAAGAACTTTTTAGATCTAAACCAGTGGTCATTCTTAGTAATCACTGCCAGGAATTTTCCATGCACTTATGGTTTGTCCTTCCTGGTTTTGCAGAGGGTGGAGGGTGCTGAAAATATCAGGCAATCTTACTAAGAAAGTCTTAAATGACAACTAATATTTACTTCTATTAATTCTTAAATATGTACATCATTTTCCCCATCTTTGCCTTTTTGTTTGGGTGGTGCTGAGTGACTATGAGATAGAGGTGGATGAAGGATAAGATAATGTGGCTCTCTGAATGGAATGTGCACCCTGCTTCAGGTCATTGATTCTCAGTCATTTAGTTAACCATGCATGGCATGTGGAAGGCATTCAATGAGTGTGCTGTTATGTAAAAGTCAAGATAACACGGTTCCTAAGGAGTAAGAGCAAAATGCATATTTTTAACTGAGATCACTGCTAATGGTTAAGGAATCAAAGAGTAAAGCCCATGGGAGCCATGCTAGGGCATCCCTTGCTGTATTCCCAGTTGTTCAATGTGAGGGGCATGAGCTACTCAAGTATATCAGTTTGAGTAAAGGATTCTGGGAACAATGTGTGATCTCACCGTGCTGGGCTTGTAAGCTTCAGGTGTGGCCCTGCTGGAGAGGGTGTACTTCTCAGAGTCTGCTTTGGACTTCCTGACCCCTTTCAACCATTGCCTGTATTGCTCCCAGACCTGCAGAGGCAAAGCATGCCCTGAGTTAGCTCACTGAGAGGACTGAGAACAGAAAAGGTACTGGGTGAGAGTCAGACTGTGGTACCTGCTGGCTGAGGAGACAGTACACCAGGAAGATGAAGACGCCCTGCAGGCTGTTGATGATAGTGAAAAGATAGGCCATGGCTTGGGCAGCTGGGTCCAGCTGCAAAATTCCCAGACACCACGTGCAGCCCAAGATGAAGAGCTGGGCCATTGCTTTAAATGTCAGCATCCTGAGTAGGAGGAGAAATGAGGCTGATGGTGCACCCAGAGCAACAGAATCAAGGCCACTCTCATCTCTACCCCATGGATGCTCCTTCCTGCTTTCCCCTGTTGGTGATTAATTCACAGGGTGAGTTGTGTTCAGCTCTGACCTTTACTGTCAATGATTCTCCACAATAGAAACGAGGTCCACGGTGACATTTGGTCCAAGGTGACATTTTCACTGTATTGAGTAGGGTTGTGACACTTCAAAATGTAAGTTCAAAAATGTATGATGCTCCTTGGAGGTCCCTAATTTTATTAAACCATCGTTTCTGAGGCTATACTGTGCATCAGGCAGGCTCTATGCTGGGGCCTGGGCAGTGAAAGTAACAGAAGCAGGATTTCTATTTTCACAAAGCTCAGTCTATTCAAATGACTGATACAACCAAATAATGACTTGCAAAATTTAGAAAGGATACTGATAGGAACATACAAGAAAGAGCATTAAAATTGCACAGGAGCCCTCACTGGTGTGGCTCAGTGGATTGAGTGCAGGCCTCCAAACCAAAGGGTCTTCAGTTTAATTCCCTGTCAGGGCACATGCCAAGGTTGTGGGCCAGGTCCCCAGTAGGGGGCACCTGAGAGGCAACCACACATTGATGTTTCTCTGCGTCTCCTTCGCCCTCTCCTACCCCTCTCTCTAAAAAGATAAATAAGTAAAACCTTTAAAAAACAATTGCACAGGGATTCTAGGAATAAAGCACTACCCATGCCTCCTGGAATAGAATTTCTTTTTCTTGACAGAGAAATGGAGAGAACCGAGGAGTCTGAACAGATGGTGGTATAAAAGTGTAGACTAGGTGCATACAGGATCTTTAGGATCTTTGTACTTTTCTCATAGGATTGCTGACAAAAGTCCAAAGAAGGTTTATCAACCAACGTCAGTTCTTCCTGCTGCTGAGGGAGACACAAGCTGGGGTTAGAGACAGAGTTTTGTGGCTGTGGAGTCAGCTGCACACCACTGAATCTGAGCCTGCTGCCAAATAAGGATCACTGCATCTCTTTACCCTGGGTTCCCTTGGCACACCCTGAGAAGGGACATCAGGGGCTGCTGAAACACATGGACTTGCTCTTGGGACCACATGAGACTGTGTGGATGTCACCCTCTTCTCCAGCTTACCTTGTATTCTGCAGGGTGGATACATCAGTGTTGAGGGAAGAGAGTTTGCTTTTCAAAATCCAGAGTGTCATCAGAAAGAAAGCTAGATTGACCTTCAGGAACACAGAGGGTTAGTGAATAAATTTTTAATTTATTACCTCTAGCCTACCCTGTCCAACAGCAATTCCACACTTCAGTAGTTTTCATACTTAGTAACAGTGTCAGAGTTTGTAGTTTTAGGAGCAGTTTCAGAAAACCAAAGCAACCCCATCAGAACCCAGGAAAATTCCCGCCTCTGTCATCCCCCCCACCAACACTGTTATAATTCTGCTCTTCTAATGACCCTCAGCTGAGGGTTAAAGATGCTCTGATGTCATCACGCACAGAGATAATGGCACAGACGGGTCCAAGGAAGCCCCATATAAATCCTTTTTCTGGGTGGAGCCAGCAGCTAAGAGAGAGAAAATTAAAAATGCATTGGTCAATATCTTAGGATCTCACTTGTAAGTATAATTTAAAGAACAAAATAAGCTAATGAACAAAGTAGAACCAGAGGTATAGAGACATGGAACAGACTGACAGCTGTCAGAGGACAGGGAGATGAGGATGGGGTGAAAGAATTGAGGGGATTAGTCAAAGTACATATATGAATGACCCCTGGACATGGACAATAGTGTGGGGATTGACTGTGGGAGCGGGGGCCGAGCTGGAAGGAAGAGGGCCAAGGGAGAAATATCGGGACAACTGTAATAGCATAAACAATAAAATATATAAATTTAAATAACTAAACAAACAAAAAGGAAAGAAACTCCCAAATACAAAAGAAAAAACAAATGAATTGGTCCTTTGAAATATAGAACAGTTATGGAAATCCATTCACTAATTGCATTCATCAACAAATACTGAACGTCCCTTCTGTGATAGGCTCTGTGTTTACTCTGAACGTTCAGTCATGAAGAAAGCAAACATGGTCTTAAATTCCACACACCTCATATCAGGCAGTAGACACACAGTCACACTGCAACTACAAAACAAAATGGGTGGCTAAGAGAATGTTACATTGGATGTCAGTTTCAGTCTAGGAAATTAGGATGGTTGGAGAAGATTTCACAAGGAAATATTATTTGAGCTGAGATTGGAACAATGAGTGGATATTACTGAGATTGTGTTAAAGGACAGAAGAAAACTGTATATGCATTAACAGTTTTTTGAGAGTCCTGTGAATCTCACATGACTTTAAGAGCTGTTCCTGACCTAGTCAGTGTAATTATTTTCATCTCTTGTAAAACCCATCTACTGAATTTTTTTAAATTATGGCTTTTATGAGATGCATTTCATATACCATAAATTTCACGCAATGAAACTATACAGTTCAGTGACCCTTGAAATATTCACAGAGTTGTGCGATCATCACAATCTCACTTTAGAACGTTTTCAACGTCTCAAAAAATTCACATTAGCAGTCAGTCCTCATTCTTGCTTCCATGCACCTCACCACCTACCACAGCCCCACAGCACCAGTGCTCTACTGTCTGTCTCCTTAGACGTGCCTGAACCAGACATAAATGTATTCATACAATATATGGTCTTTTATGACTGGATTCTGTCACCTAGCCCAATGTTTTTCAATCATGGTGACACGTTGCTGCATGTTTTTATGGCTGAATAATATTTTTAATTTATTTTAATGGCTAAATAATATTTATTCTATAGAGATACCACTCAGTTTATCCATTCACCCATTAATGGACATTTAGTGTGTTTCCAATTGCTGGCCATTTTGAATAATGCTGCTGTGAGCATTCATGGACAAGTTTTTGTGTGGGCATGTGTTTCCATTTGCTTTGGGTATATACCCAGGAGTGGAATTGCTAGGTCAAGTGGTAGCTATGTGTGTTCAACATCTGAGAAACTATCAAACCATTTTATAAAGTGGCTGCATATTTTACATTCCAACCAGCAATACATAAGGGTTCAAATTTTTCTACATCCTTGCACATGATTTTATTCTCCAAGTTTTTATTTTAACAATTTAGCATAATTGCTATGAAGTGACCTCTCATTTTGATGTTATTGATTTTCATTTTCCTAATGACTAAAGAAGTTGAGCATATTTTCATATATCTATTGGCCATTTGTATCTCTTTTGGGAGAAGTATCTGTTCTGGTCCTCTGCCCATTTTTTAATTGGATTGTTCATTTTTGTTGTTGTTGAATTTAAGAGTTCCTCATATATTTTGAAAATTAAGCCCTTAACAGAGGTGTTGTTTGCAAATACCTTCTCCCACTCAGTAAGCTGCCATTGGGTATCTACCTGAAAAATTTGAAAACATTTATTTGCAAAGATATATGCATCCTAATGTCCATTACAGCATTACTCTTGGTCGACAAGACATGGAAACAACCAAACTTTCCTTTGATAGGTGACTGAATAAAGATGTGGTACTTACATGCAATGGAACACTACTCAACCACAATGAAAGATGAAGAAGTACTGTCTTTTCAACAACATAGAAGGATTTAGAGAATAGCGTGCTAAGCAAAATAACTCAGACAGAAAAAGTCAAGAATTGTATCACTTCACTCTTATGTGGAATACAAAACTAAAAGCAACAAATGACCAAAACAAGACAAACAAACAAACAAAAATTCACAGACACAGAAAACAGTATGGTGGTGACCAGAAAAGGGGATGGAAAGAGGGAGTGAGGGTAAAGGTGGCCAAATATATGGTGGTGGAGGAGATTTCACTCTGAGTGGTAAACACTCAATACAGTATACAGATGATGTATTAGAAAATTGTACATTTGAAACCTATATAATATTATTAACCAATGTCACCACAATAAATTTAATTTTTAAAAGATTTTAAACTTCTACATGTATGTTTATAGCGACATCTTTCATAGTAGTAAAAAATGGCAACAGTGGAGACAATCCAAAGGTCTACCAACTGATGCATGAATTTAAAAAATGTGGAATATCTATGTAATGGGATATTATTTACAAACAAGACGAGCAACAGCAACAACAAAGAATGATGTCATGGTACTTGATACAACATGATGAACCTTGAAGACATCATGCTAAGTGAAAGAATCCAGTCAGAAAGACAAAATGTATGATTTCAATTATGGGAAATATCCAGGATAGGCAGGTCCATGTAGATTACTGGTTCAGGGGTTGGAGGAGTGGGTAGCAAGAAGGGGGTGTGCATGATATTGTGTATGAAGTTTCTTTTGGGGAGTTGAGAATCTTATGGGATTTCATTGTGGCATCTGCTGCACTACTCTGTCATTATTGTCAAAACCACTGATCTGTATTCTTTAAAGGAGTGAATTTTATGATGTTTGAAATATATTTCAAAAATAAGTAAAAGCATTAAACCTAGTATTAGAAGCTGAAAATAAGAGAGTGAAGCTCTGAAGCTTGACTTCCTGGATTGAATCCCAGCTCTGTTACTTACTAGCTGAAATATGTTTGGGCATTTACTTAAACTCATTGTACCTCAATTTACTTATCTTGAAATGGGTCAAATCACAATGTCTACTTAACAGTATTGTTTGAAGATGAATTGTGTTAACCAATATAAAAACTGCTAGAAAAATGCCTGGCACAGGCAAATCTCATGCAACATGCAAATCTCAATTGCAAATCCCAACTATAATACAAATTATTCTTTAGATTATTTAAATCAGCTCTACTTCTCCAAATATGAAATCAGAACCTCCTATAGCATTTAGATAAAGAGGAAGTTTACATTGTTTATAATAATGTCCAAAGCACTTTTTAAAATTATATCTTTGTTATTTCAAGGAGAGGTTTAAAGACATTCTCCTTAATCATTATAAAGATGCCCTAAGGATTATCACTTCTTTCTCTATTAATATGATCTGGAATAATCAAATGCTACATTAGTTTTACAAAGGCCAGAGACATGGTGAAGAAGATAAAGAAGTCAGAATTCGCCCTTACCGGGCAGCTGTTCCATAAAGGTGAGGCCTGGATGCTGCAGAAATGGCCACAATGACAGCTGGGACTCCATAGCCCACAGGGAACATGAACTTCTTCATGAACCTGCTCACGTTGGAGTAGTTGACCACAGTGAGGTTGCGTGCAGTGAAGAAGAGGTGCAGGCCCTCCAGCAGCATCCAGGTGAAGGAGGCCAGGTAGAGGTAGTGTAAGGTACCTGCGATGATGGCACACAGCACCTAGAGGAGCAGTCAAAGTCACCAGGTGGGATTGTCAGGGGGAACATGGCCTCAGACCTGTCCTATACCTTGACACTGGGGAGACCTGTATTGTATATGAAGGAATTGTCAAAAGAGGGTGTGTCTGCTAGTTGGGTTAGTCAGTGTGAAATTGGCTACTCACCCCTCTAACCTTCCCAGAACTCAAGGACATTTTATTAAGGGGTCCAATGCAGCATGGCCACATGAATTCCACATCCTGTGGGCAAGACAAGGGTCCTTGGGGATGTCAGTACCTTAATCTCTGTTCTGTCGATGGCCGTGAGGAACAGCAGGTGGGCCAGGAAGAGGCAGATGCAGAGCTGCAGGTGGAGGGAGGTGCTGGTGTTCTGGATGGCTTTGCACAGCAGGAAGGTGAGGGCTGCCAGGAGGAGGCACAGCAGAGAGAGGCTCAGCCCTAAGTAGGTGATCACAACCAGGGCAGGATCCTCCTCCTGGGATCCAGCAAAGAAGAGATATCAGTCACACTGTCCTGCTCTGGGGTAATTACCCTTCCACCATTTATAGTTTTGAGGGGATGGAGGGTATACAATGCAGTTAGCAATGTAGGTAGAACCAAGTAAAGGTGTGATAGTATGGGTACTGTTTGAATTTTCTGGAGTTCTCCACCGAAAAACTGCTTGACCTAATAAATGATTTAGCAAAACAGCAGGATACTAAGTCAATATCCAGAAATCAAAGGCAATTCTGTACACCAACAATGAAACAGCAGAAGCAGAAATCAAGAAAAAAAGCCCATTTGAAATAGCAAAAAGAAAAATAAAACACCTAGGAATAAACCTAACCAAAGAGGTAAAAGACCTGTATTCAGAAAACTACATAACACTGAAGAAAGAAATCAAGGAAGACACAAACAAATGGAAACATGTACCGTGTTCATGGATTAGAAGAATTAATATCATCAAAATGTCCATACTACCCAAAGCAATTTACACATTCAATGCAAGTCCTATTAAAGTACCAATGGCTTATTTCACAGACATAGAACAAACACTTCAAAAATTTATATGGAACCATAAATGACCCCAAATAGCTGCTGCAATTTTGAGAAAGAATAACAAAGTAGGAGGGAGCACAATACCTGACATTAAACTATACTACAAGCCACTGTAATCAAAACAGCCTGGTTCTGGCATAAAAACAGGCACATGGACCAATGGAACAGAACAGAGAGCCCAGAAATAAACCTAAGTCTTTATGGTCAATTAATATTTGACAAAGGATGCAGCAACATAAAATGGAGTAAAAATAGCCTCTTCAGCAAATGGTGTTGGGAGAACTGGACAGTCACGTGAAAAAAAATGAAACTTGAGCACCAACTTACACCTTATACAAAAATCTTCAAGGTGGATAAAAGATTTAAATATAAAATGTGACACCATGAAAGTCCTAGAGGAAAACGTAGGTAGGAAAATCTCAGATATTTCACTCAGAAACTTCTTTACTGACATGGCCCCTAGAGCAAGGGACATAAAGGAAAGAATAAACAAATGGGACCTCATCAAAATAAAAAGCTTCTGCACAGCTAAAGAAAACAGTATCAAAATTAAAGGAGAACCAACTGTATGGGAAAACATATTTGCCAATGATACCTCAGACAAGGGTTTAATCTCCAAAATATAAAAAGAACTCACACAAATCCACTCCAGGAAGACAAAAAACCCAATTAAAAAATGGGCAAAATACTTGAACAAACACTTCTCCAAGGAGGACATACAGAAGATCCAAAGACACATGAAATGATGTTCAATATTTCTAGCTATCAGAGAGATGCAAATTAAAACCACAATGAGATACCACTTCACACCAGTCAGAATGGCCATCATAAACAAAGCAACAAACAACAAGTGTTGGAGAGGTTGTGGAGAAAAGGGGACCCTAGTGCACTGCTGGTGGGACTGCAGACTGGTACAACCACTATGGAAAGCAGTATGGAACTTCCTCAGAAAACTGAAAATGGATCTGCCTTTTGCCCCTGCAATTCCACTGCTGGGACTCTATCCTAAGAATACTAAAACACCAATACAAAAGAACCCTTGCACCCCAATGATCATAGCGGCACAATTTTCAATAGCTAGGTGCTGGAAGCAACCAAGATGCCCATCAGTAAATGAATGGATCAAAAAACTATGGTACATTTACACAATGGAATTCTATGCAGCAGAAAGAAAGAAGGAGCTCCTACCCTTTGCAACAGCTTGGATGGAGCTGGAAAGCATTATGCTAAGCAAAATAAGCCAGGCAGTGAAAGACAAATACCATTCAGGAACCTAAACAACAAAACAAAGAAACAAGCAAAATATAACCAAAGACACTGAAATAGAGGACAGGCTGACAGTGACCAGAGGGGAGAGAAGAGGGAATTTCAGGGGAGAATCGGAAGGGCTTACAGGAACAAATTTAAAGGACACATGGACAAAAACTAGGGGGAGGGTGGTAATGGGAGGGAAGTGAGGAGGGTTGGATGGGTGGGCTGGAATGGCAGTAAAAGGGATACAACTGTACTTGAACAATGATTAAAAAAGGGGGGAAAAAAGGAATTTTCTGGAGTTCTTAACTGATTAATTTAGACCCTGGAAAAACTGAAATATAGGAGTCCTCACTCAAGATGAAGACCTGGAATTCACAGGCTTCACTTTCCTTTAGACTTCTGGGCATGACTAACTGGTAGGTTACCATGTGAGGGTCACGGGGGCACACAGCTCCAGGTTGCTGTGTGACCAAGCCTGTATCTGGAGACTCGATGTCCAGGGATCAACCCCCCACCCCAGACTCACTCATCTCATCCCTGCAACACCTCTTCCTTACAGATTAGATCCTTGGTTAAAGAAGGAAAAGTACTATGCTCTGATGCTTTTGTTTTTAAAGATTAAAATTTTTCCTCCCTATTTTTTCAAGTCATATTAAAGCCATGAGGGGTATTACAAGTTAATTTTGGTTTAAGTATGTGAGAAAAAGAGGGAGGGAGAGAGAGAAAAACAAATGTAAAAATGATAGAGGTAATGGAGGTAAAATGTTTAAAGTTGCTGCATCTGGAGCAATATGGTATTATTTACACTCTATTGTTGCAATAAATCTGTAAGATTTAAATTGTTTAAAAATAAATAGCAAGCCCTCCAGGTGATTTTGATGCATACTAGGTTTGAGAATCTTTGGTGTAATGAGATAAAACATTCAAATGGTTCTTAAATGATGTTCTGTTTCACTCATAATAAAAAAGACTTCTCCATGGACACAAAAATTCTCCTAGATGTTATATTTAACTCTCAGATGGATAAAAGATTCAAAACTTTGACAATGCCCTTGTGCTAAGGGTCTGAGGAATCACACACCTTCATGTAATGCTGATGGGAGTGTTCTCATATGTGACCTCTATATGTTGACCATGGAAACATCTACCCACATACAGTTATGAGTTTGACCCAGTGTACCTCTTAACTAGACACTTGAACAGGAAAACAATGAAGTGTGTGTGATTCATGACAACTTTATTTGTATTAGGAAATGATCATGAAATAACATGCCTACTCTGAGAAGAACTGATATGTCATTTCAGTTACTTTAGTGCAATGGAATGCACTGTCAGTAAAAATAATGGTGTGTCACTTTGTAGATTGGATTAATCTCTTAGATGTAATAAATAAAAACACAAAATGCACAACAGTGAAAAATGCCACTATGTTATTAATAAAAACAGGAACAAAAAAATGCATGTATTTTTTTATGTTTAAAAAAATCATAAAAACATGTAAGAGAAACTAACAACTTTGCTTGCCTGAGGTAAGAGTAAGTAGATGTCTGGGGTTAGGAGTGAGACAGACAATCTTCAAAGTTTCTCTTTTATTCTTTTTGAGTTTGAAACACACATATTTTAAGTCTTCAGTAAAATGGAGTAAAAACACCTTCTTCAACAAGTGCTGCTGGGAGAGCAGGACAGGCACATGCAAAAAGGTGAAAATAGACCAACTTACATCATATACCAAAATAAACTCAAGATGGATAAAAGACTTAAATATAAGTCGTGACACCACAAAAGTCCTGGAGGAAAACATAGACAGGAAAATGTCAGATATTTCATGCAGCAATATCTTCACTGATAATATCTCCTAGGGCAAGGGATGAAAAAGATAGAATAAACAAAGGGGACTACATCAAATTAAAAAGCTTCTTCACAGCTAAAATAAATATTAGTAAAATGAAAGGGAACCATATGCATGGAAAGACATATTTGCCAATGATACTTTGGACAAGGGTTTGATCTCCAAAATACATAAAGAAGTCACACAACTCAACACCAGAAGACAAGCAATCCATTTAAAAATGGGCAAATGACCTGAACAGTCACTTCTCCAAGGAGGACATACAGAGGGCCCAGAGACATATGAAAGGTTGCTCAGCATCACTAGCCATCAGAGAGATGCAAATTAAAATCACACTGAGATATCACTTCACACCATTAAGAATGGTCATCATTATCAAATCAACAAACAAGTGCTGGCAAGGTTGTGGGGAAAAGGAAACTCTAGTGCACTGTTGGTGGGAATGCAGACTGGTATAGCCACTGTGGAAAACAGTATGGTATTCCTCAAAAAACTAAAGATGGGTTTGATCCAGTGATCCCACTGCTGGGATTACACTTAAGAATATTGAAACACCATTTCAAAAGAACCTATGCACCCCATTGTTCATAGCAGCACAATTTACAATAGCCAAGTGCTGGAAACAACCAGTGAGTTTAGAGGACTCCAAGCCTCAGATAAGATTGCAGTTATTCCAGTCTTGTTAGACACTGAGAGGAAAACTCAGCTATGCCATGGCAGATTGCTGACCTGAAGAAACTGCAAAATAACAAACTTGTGTGTGTTTAGGGTGCTGCATGCATGGCAATTTACTACACAGCAATAGACACTGAACAAAGTCCCTTCCCAGGGCTCTCACCTGCACATCATACTGGGCCATGAGGACGGCAAAGCTGCTGAGGTGCGTGCACAGGCAGGTGGTGCTGGTGTCTCCAGTGCCCACCATCCTGCAGCCTTTGGTGGCCCAGTGACCACTTCCATTCTGGCCATGCTCCCAGAAGACACAGAGCACCTGCTGCCTTGGCACAGGTGTCACCAACTGTAGGAACAGGGCATAAATGTGAGCTGGTTGTTCTGATGCCCAGAAATGCCGACCCAGATCTCGCTTGTGAAGGGCTTTCCTGGGGAGATGATGCGCCCATGGGGAAGCCCCTGGAGCCCCAAGACTGTGCCAAGACCCGGGCCTCTTCCACACCCACAGACCCATCCCACAGGACTCACATGCTCAAAGACAAAGGTGACTGGGGAGCTGAGGTTCTGGGTGTTGTTGTTGCTCACAAAGACAGAGATGACATCTGAGAACAGGACTGGGGAGACCCCCCTGCAGCAAGCCTGTGTGTGTCTCATGCAGAACTTCTGGTCCCTCAGTTTCCAGCACAAGGGGGGGGCCCCTGCCAGCAACTTGCCCATCCCTGGAGTAGAGATAAGGCCCACCACAGAAGGGCCTGCAGGGCAAGGTTAAGGTTGACATCTTGGGGTGCCCAATAGGACCTCTTCTTCTTCAGGTAGACTCTTTCCTTGTGGACCCACCATAGCCCTCACTTTTTTTTAGACTTCAATTTTCCATTTGTCCCATCCTTGGGCATTTTGTCCCACTGTGAAATCTCAGTGACCTTCTCCCCATCTCAACCATTACCTGCATCCCCAGATTCCTGAACTGTATCCCAGTTCAGCAGCATCTTTGCTTTATTGACACTCAAGCTGACATTCCTTTGTCCTTGCTCCTCCACCTCCAGGGACAGTTCTGTGAGTTGTGGGAGTTACATAAGGGAATTGATTAGTAATTATTCCAGCAGTTTTTGCTATAATGCCATTTGTGTGTGTGTGTGTGTGTGTGTGTGTGTGTGTGTTATAGTATATACCAAATATTATCTGTAATATTATTAGATGTATACCAAATTATGCCATATATATACATATATATATAATGCATATATGGTATACATAAAACAATATATATGTAGCAATCATCTGAACTTACAAGGGATTATAAGAGAAACTATGAGCAACTACTCAACAACAAATTATATAACCTGAATGAAATGGACAAATTCCCACAGACCTACAAACTGCAAAAGTATCTGAAGAAGAAACACAGAGTCTGCACAGACCAGTCACAAATAAGGAGATGGAATCAGTAATCAAAACATTTTAAATGAAAACTCCAGACCTAAACTCTACTAACCCTTTAAGGAAGAATTAACTCACATTTTTTGTAAACTCATTAGTAAAAGAATGAAATACAACACTACTTAAATAATTCTACGAGGTCACAACTACTCTAAAAACCAAACCAGAGAAAGGAATCGAAAGGAAAGGAAACTATAGAACAATAACTCCTATAAACATAGGTGCAAAAATCTTCAACAAAATGTTAGGAATAAATTTATCTAATGAGGCTCAAGACTTGTACACCAAAACCCACAAAATATTGCTTAAAAAGTTTAAAATCCCTAAATAAACCAAATGACATTCTATGATTATGAATTTGAAGACTTAATGTTTTAAACATGGCAGTATTCCAAAAAGTAATTTACAGATTCAATGCAATAATAACAATATCCCATCAACATTTTTTAGCAAAAATGAAAAATATCATTCTAAAATTTACATGGTACTACAAGAGGCCCCAATACCCAAACAATACTGAAAATGAAAAACAAAGTTGGAGGATTCACACTTCCCAACTTCAAAACTTATTACTGACCTACAGTAACCAGAGCAGTATGATCTTGGCACATGGGCAGACATATAAACAAACAAAATAAAATTGTGAGTCCAGAAATAAATCCATTTATGTATGGTCAATGGATTTTCAATGAAACCCTTCAATGGGGCAAAGATTAATCTCTTCAGTAAATGGCGCTGGAGCATCTGGCTATGCACAAGCACCAAAGGAAGTGGGACCCATACTTCACACAGTAAACTAAAATCAGCTCAAAATGGGCCAAAGACCTGCCTTTAAGAGCTAAAAATAGGACAAGTAGTAGAAAACACAGAAGCAAATCTTCACGGCCTTGGATTTTGGCAATTGATTCTTACATATGACACAAAGTACACAAACAACAAAAGAAAAAACTAAATAAAATAGACTTTATAAAACATTAAAGCATAGTGAAAAGACAGTGAAAAGAATCTATACAATGGGACAATATATTTGAAAATCACATATCTCATAAGGTCTGCTATCAAATATCTAAAAACACTTAATAGCTCAATAATAAGAAACAAAACAATTCAATTTAAAAATAAGCAAAGAGCTTGAATAAACATTTCCACCCAAAAGATATACAAACATTCAACAATCACATGAAGAAATATGAAATATCATGAGTCATCAGGGAAATGCAAATCAAAACCTTAATGAGATGTCATCTAACATACACAAGAAAGGCTGTAATAAAACCAAAACAAAATGGAGTAGCAAGTCTTCCTGAGGATGTGAAGATTGGAACCCTTGTACATTGCTGGGGGCGAGTTAGGCATGTACAATGGTGAAGCCATTTGCAAAAATAGTTTGATGGTTCCTGAATGTTGAACATGTAATTACAATATCACTCAGCAATTGGACTTGAAGAACTGAAAGAGTTATTCAAACAAAAATTTGTAAACCAATATTCATAGGAAATCTATTCACAATAGTCAAAGGGAGGCAACAATCCAATGTCCATCAATGAATGAATGGATAAATAAAAGGTGGTGCATCCATATAATGAAAGATTATTCAACCATAAAAAAAGAAAGAAATATGATGCATGCTACAACATGGATCAACCTTGAAAACATTTTACTAGGTGAAAGAAGCTAGACTATAAGGCCACATATGATAGTCTATTTACATGAAATGGACAAAATCATCAAATCAACAGAAACAGAAAGCGGTAAGTGTTTGCCAACGACTGGGGAATGGAGAAATGGGAACTGCTTAGTGGGTACAGTGTGCACCTCTGGGGGAATGAAAATGGTTTAGAAATAGAGGTGATGGCTGTACAATTCTGTGAATGTACCAAATGCCAGTGAATTACACTTTGGCTATGATGGTGGATTTTATGTTATGTGAAATTTACCTCAATAAGACAAATATTAGATAATATTAAATTGTATTCTTCCAAATTCACTTATCTGTTTTAAGCCAATTCCATTTTATCTTAAATTATTCATTATAATTATTTCATCTATTGATCACTTATATTACAATAAAAATGTGTAGAATTGAAAGTTTCTTTCATTTCCTTTTCAACCTTTCATTTTAATATGTTTTTGAGAGTAACATGGACAAGCGAGCATTACCACCCAGTGTGGTGCGATTGGTCCTTGAACAGAGCAGGCAGGGCCAAGCTGGGGACAAGCCAGTTACTTCCCTGTTCCTGTGGCTGTGCTGAAGGTCAATGGCCCACTGGGCAGGCTCTTGCTCAGCTCTCTCAGGACATGCTCCAGGCCGGTGAGCAGGTTGGTGGCCACACAGTGCTGCTCGGAGCGGGACAAATTTTCCAAGTCACCTGCTGTCTCCAGCAGCTCATCCACCTCCTGTATGATGTCCTGGAGGGATAGGGACACATAACCAGTGGATCTTGTACCAGAGAAACTTCAAGAAGACTCTGCCCACTTAGCCACAAAGAACAGGCCCTAGAGATTATGTATTTGAGGATTAAGATGGGACCAGATCTTATTCCATGGGTCTTTGCCAGTGCAATCCAGCCACTTGGGAGTCAACCTTGTTCATAAATGCCAATGACAACATAAACCCAATAGCCAGGAACAAGAGGAAAGGTGTGAGTAGGTATGTGTGGGCCTAGCAATGAGTACAAATCCTGCCTGTCCTTCCCACCCACCCTGGGTGAGGCGACCACAGCACCATTGTGTTGGGCTCTGTCTCCTCCCAGAACAAGGCTTCCCCAAGCTTCTATGGGACACCTCCACCTGCCTCCCCTGAGTTCTACCCTTACCTGGATGGTGTCCTTGGCTGAAGCCAATGTGAAGTTTCTGCCCAGATCCTGGACTTTTTCATAGAAGCGGGACAGACTCTGGGAGAGAGGAGAGAAGGGCTCAGAGAGCCTCACCCCTGGTGGGGAAGCAGTACGGGGTGGGGGGAACACAGTCCCTGCTGGAGTCACTCACTTGGCTCTTGATTCCAGGGGCAGGGGTCCAGGTGGGGAAGGAGATCTCTGCTGGGGACAGAACAGAGGCTCATTAAGTGAGACAGTGTCTGTGTGTATTGGAGGCAGGGTCTAGGGTCAGGCCAGGTTCCTTCACACTGAGTAGTCTTTTGTTTATGCAGGAATCTGGGTTTGGGCACCCAGCCTGGGAGGCAGTGGCACATGTATGAGCCCGGAGTATTGATGCAGATGGTGGAGTTGTCACACTGATGCTCCCTGGAGCTGCACTCATCCACATCTGGGGACGTGAAGTTGGGGGTCAGTTCCCTCTCCTCTCTGTGTCCTGTCCCCTTCCCCCTGTGAGTGCTCCCTACCCCCACCCCTTGGCTGGAGGGAATGCAGGTCCCTGAGTGGTGGACCCAGGAGTTGTGGGAAGTGTGCAGAGGCCTAACACGTAGCAGGTGAGCCCCGCACAGATGTATAGGTTGTAAGGTATTGAAATACCCTCATCCCAGTTAGTGATTAGCTGCTGCCTGGGTCCCCCAGGAGCCTTCCCTGGATACTCTAGCTCTTTCCTCGGGACGCCTGAGGTCATCACCTATTTAGTCTCAAAAGAACTGATGCCAGGACAGCAGGGAACCCCCAGCATTCATTCTGCTGGGTTCCTGTGGGTGCCACTGAGTATGTGATCAGATGGTTTCATTTGTGGGCTTTTGGGACTGTGGGATCTGAGCTCTGAACCTTCACAGATGGTGTTTAGGCCATCGGGGGACCCAGGAACCAGCTTCCAGCCCTGGTGGCAGCGACATTCATAGCTGCCCTGGACGTTGAGGCAGTGGGTGGAGTTGTGGCAGGGGTTTTGCCCCGAGCTGCATTCATTCACATCTGAGGACAAAGCCAAGAGCATCAGGCCCTCCCTCCACTCACTGCACCAACTTCTCACTGCCCAGAACTAAGGACCCCTCCCTTAGTACACAGGCTACCACCAGGTGACCTTCAACTTTACCCTCTAAGCACATTATGGTGGCCTCCCTGAAAGATGGACACAGCAGGGACCATAGTCTCCAGTGTATAGGTGGCAAAACCAGGGGGGAAACTGAATTTGTGGCTGACTTCCTGACCAAAGACTCCTGCCTACTCCCTCCTGGGCCCCGGCCCCTGTTCCCTTTCTGGGAACAGGAAGTGACACCTCCCTGGGCTTGTATGTGACACATGAGAAAGGGGAAGTGTCTGGGGGCGCTCACAGGGACTACACAGAAAACCCCTGGCACAAAAGGCCCTGCCACCTCCCTGCTCTGGACAGTGTGCTCTGGACAGTTGCACTGTCCAGAGAGGCACATTCTTGGGCAGGGCCTATTATGTGGCAATAAAAAAAATAATAAAATCTTGCCATTTGCAAGAACATGGAAAGACTTAGAGAGTATTAGGCTAAGTGAAATAAGTCAGAGAAAGACAAATACCATATGGTTTCACTTATATGTGGAATCTAAAAAACAAAACAGCAAACAAAAGAAAAGAAAAACAGACTCAGAAACTGAGATCACATGGTGGTTGCCAGAGGGCAGGGGGAGGGAGGTGAAAATGGTGAAGAGGAACATGGTCAATGCTGTGTGAAAAGTTCACACCATGACTGATGGTTCCTAGACTTAATGTGGTGGGCATACTCTAAGGTATATAAATGTGGTGGGAAGTGGGGCTGGTGTGCAGTGATTCAGCATGTAGCAGTGACAGCACCTCTTCTGATTTTTTTGAAGGCATTCCCAGACTAGCAGGAAGTGGTGAGAATCCACCTGTGAGCAAGGCCAGTGGTGGTCAAGGGCTGGGTGACTAGAAGGGAAAGCCAGTGCTGAAGGCCCCAAGGGGTGACAGGTGTTTCTGTCACCTGGTCCCTTGGTTCCCACAGGGACAGACCTGGGAAGCTGAGTGGGACTCAGTCTCTATCTTCTGTCTGCCAATGGTCTGGGCCCCCATGGTAACTGGGTTGACCACCTTGGGGGAGGGTCCAGCCTGAGACAGTGCTCCCCTATGATGCCCTCCCTTGTCATCTGGTCCAGATGGGGGCCTCTTTGTTCATACAACAATCTAAATTTGGATCAGGGGTCGACATCACCCTGCCCACCACCAATAGAAACACCCTCTTGGGTCCTGGTCATCCAATCTGCCCTCAGGTCTGTGAACTGAAACTGTTGGGAAGTGTCAGGGCGGGTGGGGCCTTGCTCAGGGGAATGGATGGGGGCTGAGCAGACATAGTGCCAGGAGGCATCTTCTCAGGTGGGATTGTTGGTGAGGGGCCCAGCTGGCCCAGCACAGTGGGTCTGCCTTTGAATCTCCCTTCCTTTCATGATGCTGGGTGTAATTCCAGGGCCCATCAAGGCCTGGGTGGGAGTGGGGTTATAAGAGAGCTCCAAGTGTGACTGAGTCCATGTGGGTTCCAGTCAGGGCAGGGGGTCTCATCCTGCCAGTCACTGACCATGGTGAAGAAGATGGATGTTGCGCTGGAACCCAAGGTGCTGTGAACTCATGAAGTCTCTTAATACCACAACCCCTCTTGTTTCATAAAAAATAAGATTCCAGGTTGGCAGGAGGGACATTCTGAACATCTGGAAGTGGCACTCTGTGGAGGGTTCTGAGCCTTGGGGTTCAGAGAGGGTGGATGACCAGGTAGGTGGCCAGGATAGCGCTCTAATGACTGAAGAAAGTGGGGCAACTGACCCCAAACTGCAGGGACACAGAGATGGAGGATGCAGGGTTTCTGACCTTGACACGTGTTCTGACTCTCATGACTGAACTTCATTGCTCCAGAAACAAGCTTGTATCCCAGGGTGCACATGCAGTAGTAGCTCCCCTCTGTGTTCCGGCACTCTGCCAGTTTTCCACAGGAAACTGGCAAGGATGGTCTGCACTCGTTGATGTCTGAAACAAACAAGACAAAGGGTCATCTCCCAATAGTGTCCCATAGGACAGAGGCCCTGGCACCCAGCCAGACACTGTCATGGAGACTGGATAGAACACAGGTCCAGGGTGACCCTCCTGGGCTGGGCTGGGCAGAGCCAGCTGCTGCAGAGCCCACTGACCTCTCTGCCCATGTCTGCTGTCTGGCTGCTCTGAGGATACCTACTCTCAGACTCTCTGATGTCTCCTGAAGGGGCTGCATCCTGCCTTCCAGGGCTTGAGGAGTCGACAGAGGCACTGACTCAGGCTACAAATCCTCACTGTGGTACCATTTACACCACTGGGGGACCAGGAAATGATCTCCAGTCAGGCTGAGTGTGGCAGTGAAGGCCACCCTCAGGGCTGAGGTCATGGAGGGGGTCAGGGCTGAGGGCTGTCCATGGTGACACCATCATTCACACCTGAAGATAGAGCCAGGTGTCTGGCCCCTGCCCATTGAGGTCTCCACCTCCCATTACTCAGAATGGCTCAGAGTGGTACCCCACCCTCCTCATCAGGCCCTCCCCCCAGCTCCTTTTGAAGATGCTCCAGGATGCCTCAGGGGCTAGTCTTCCTGTCTCCACCTCTGGAGGAAGTTCCCCTTTATCAGAGCCCAGCACAGATGTGAAATGAGGAAGCAGCCTGCAGTTGCTCACAGCTGAGTCAGTGCAGTGTTTTCTGGCATCTTATCTCCCTGTCCTCTAAACGTGAGAGAGAGAGATACGCCAATGACCAAGATCTGCTTTGAGTAGCTCAGGGACCCACCGAGCAGGGGCTGGATACTCACTGTGGGCTAAAAACAATGGTTTATTAAGAAAAACATACACAAGAATGACTCAAAATGTAGGGACAGTACCCTGGTTGGTGTGCCTCTGTGGAATGAGTGCTGGCCTGCAAACCAAATGGTCACAGGTTGGATTCCCAGTCAGGGCACATGCCTGGCTTATGGATCAGGTCCCCAGTTGGGGGCAGGCTGGAGGCCACTGATCGATGTATCTCTCGCACATTGATGTTTCTCTCCCTCTCTTTCTCCCTCCCTTCCCCTCTCTCAAGAAATAAACAAATAAATTCTTTTTAAAAATATGCAGGAGCAAAATGGTAGGTCATATACATTCCAATCAGGTGACCAAAGACTTTAGAGGCTGAAAGGACTCACAGTGTCATGAGTCAGGCAGCTGGTCTCCCCCAGATCCACCTTTCTTCTCCACACCTGTGGATTTCCCTTCTAAGTTCCCAGACCCAGGCTGTGATTTTCGACACCCAATACAGGACAGGAGGCACTCATGTTCATTCCCCACTTGGGCATTGGGACTTCTCCACTCTGTTCTCAGGTGGTGACAATGGCTACAGACCTGTCTTCAAGTTTGATGGCATGAGGTCAAGTTGAATGGGGGGGGAGTTGGAAATGAGGTGTGCACAACAAGTAGATGTGACAGTGGAAAATTCCTTAAGCTGACAAGTGTGCTCCCAGCTAGGAACTGAGATCCAGTTATAGTAGCAGTGGGATCTCCTCCATGTTACCCAGACTGCAAGTCTCCAAGAGACACACACATGCGAATGCACAAAGGAACCTAGGAATGCCTCCAGGGCCACGGATGGGCCGGGCACTGGTCACAGCAACATCGTTATATTTTCTCTGGTAAAATCTGCTTTTCTCCAAATATTAAATAAGACATGACACTTAGAAAATAAAATAAATGTTAGAGAAGGAAACAAAAAATAATTTTAAAAAAAGGAAACAAAAAACTCACCCATAAGTCCACTACACAGAAAACTGAAAATTTTAGAGATATTTTTTCTTTTCAAACATATTAAGGGTATTTTTTTATTATCAATAAATATGTAAAGACAGGAGACATAATTTCATTCATGTCAGAGAGCCAGTCAGTCAGTGGCAAAGCTAGACTTTGAAACCACACCACCCAGCTCCACTGTGTAAGGTCTCAGCACGCTCCTACTGATCATGAAATTTTATTGCCCTCTTCCCTCCTCCTTCCCTGTCCTGCCGCCTCTCTCTTATCCTTGATGAGGTGTTCCTGTGCTGCTCTCAAGGATGAGGTCTCTGGATGCCCCACAACCACCCCCCACAATCTCTGTATGCCTTCCACTCCCCCAAGTCTCTGTACCATCACAAGTCTCCGTGGGGTCAGTGATGATGTCTGCAGATGAAGAGATGAATCCTGGAAGGCAGTCACAGGCAGTGGCATTGACACATGTGGAGTGTGGGGGGCACCAAGGAGCACAGGCCATAGAGGCAGAAGCTGTGGAAATGGAGACAACAGTCAGAAGACTCAAGAAATAAAGGCAGCCAGCTGGGGTCCAAGAATAGAGGAGAGGAAGGAAGGAAGAAAGAGATGGCTGTTATCAGAAGAGGAACAACTAAGAAAACTCTGGACATTTAGGGGGGAAATAGCTTTTCTCGCTTTCAGAAGACTTTTCTGAGCCTCACTTGCAGAATAAGCCTCCTTTCCTTCACTGGTGGTGAGAGGCCCCAGACCCCAGCACAACCCCCCATCTTACATCACTAATGGGGGTGGCTGGGCAGACTCACCTCCAGGGGCCTTGTCTGCAGGTCTTAATGTCAACAGCAGCAGCACTGAGAGTCCTGGGGCAGAAAAAACAGACAGGAGAGTTTCAACCCCTATCCACATGGTCATTGCCCCCTTAGCAGGTGGCTCTGGCCCTGCAGCCCACAGCTGCCAGCATATCCCCCAGGCTCCTGTACTTCACTGACAACTGAGACTCTGTCTTTCCCCTCCATCTCCTGGGACCCCCTGAGAAATCAGTCACCAACAGACACAGTCCTCATGGAACCCCAGGTGGCACAGGTAAGGACACAGCGGCTGACAGGGACACATCTTGAACACCCCAACCTCTCCCAATGGAGGAGTTACATCTTAAAGGAGAAAGTCCTCAGACTGGTGTCCCTTTGCTCAGACCCAGGTTCTTCTTCTCTGTCAATGGCACAAATATGGGGATTTCTCTTCAATGATCATTTCCCCTGATTAAGGTACCCTTTGAAGGCATACAAGAAGAGTGTCAATTTCGGAGCTGGAGAGACCAAAGTGTGAGCCCTAGCTCACAATATCAACAGGGATCAAAGCTCGGGAATAGGGAGAAGGGAGCTGATGAGAGGTGAGAAATGAAAACTAAGGCACCTGCAGGTAAAGCCACTATCCCCTGGGTGAGGGACCTCTCCAGGTACAACATGGTGGCTTCTATGCCTCCTTCCAGATGAGCTCCTGGCCCCCCGTCATGCACTCAGGGCTCAGCCTTTGCCCTTTATACCCTGAGAAATGGGGCACAGAGCAGGCTTTATGGTATGAAAATTACTACAGTGCCAAGGATACAACCTACTGTAAAGGCAATAACCAGTCTACCTGACAACCCATGCATGGAAGCCATGAACCCTAAGAGCATCTTTCCTGATCTCTGTGCCCTCTATACAGGGTCTTTCTTCTCAGGAGAAGGCAAAGATGAATTCCTCCTCCAGGCTACACTGCCAGTTCAACACTCTGTAAGGTGACAGAGGACACTGGTGGAGAAGAAATTTGGAGTCACACGTGTCCAAGACTGCAACCCAAACTCCCACCTGGTGGCTGTGAGACTTTAGAAATGCCACCTAGTCTTTGAACCACAATTTCCCAATGCTAAATGGGTACAGTGGTCATTATAATAGGATGGGCATTATTATGATTGCACATTAGTGAAGACTAATAAAGGGCTAGCTCAGTGCCTGGCTCAAAATAAACAGTTCACAGAAGTCAGCTAAGGGAAAGAGTAAAGAAGAAAATGAAGAGCAGAGTTCCTTCCTGTTCCTTCTTTTCCTTCCAGTTCCTGCTTTACCTTCTTGTTACCTGAGACACACCAGTGTCCAGGTCAGATCCAAGCTCAGGCATAATTACATGCTCACTTTGGTTCTGCCAGGGGTCAGAATCCATACTTCTGTTGTTCCCTCTTTGCCCACAAAATGCTCCTCTTCTCTTATAGCTGTGTGCAGAGGTGAGGAGAGCCAGGCACCAGGGCCAGACTGCCTAACCCAAAAGCCAGCATGGAGCCACCCCTCAGTAAGTTGTCTAGGTGTTCCTTGCCTACGATGCCCCATCAACTATGCTTCTTCCATTTTCTAACATGTGGCAGCCAAAGAAGGATGAAATGATATTCCATGTGTATGAATGAAGTCATTTGTTCTGAGTATAATATATGAGTACGTGCATACCTAAAAGTGTTAATATCTTCAAGAAACTAAGCCTGTTTTCCATTTTCTTTTAACTTTTTTTAATCCTTACCCAAAGACATTTTTTTCATTGCTTTTCAATTGAGAGCAAGAGAGAGAGAAACACCAGTGCGAGAGGGAAGCATTGATTGGTTGGTTGCCTCCCATATGTGCCTAGACAGGGGATGGAACTCACAACCTAGGTATGTGCGCTGACCTGGAATTGAACCCACAACCTTTCAGTTATGGGGTGACACTCAATAAAACTCAGCCACACCAGCCATGGCTTGTTTTCCATTTATTTTAAATACCGGGGGACGTAAGATGGCGGCTTTACTCTAGGCAGCGGTTTTTCTAGGCTTCTGTGAAGAGGGGGGAAACTCGCGGATCGGTGGAGAAACAGAGCAAGTGGGCTAGGTTACCAAACCACTTTTGAAAGCAGGACATCAAAAATTATTGCACTCACTGGAAAACCAGACGGTTAGGAGACGGCTACAGGACAAAAGGGGCCCAGGGATCAGCGTGGGGTCTAGGGGTGTGCAGACCCCAGGCCCGCCCGGTGCTCCAGGGTCTGCCCCAGGGCTCCCAGGAGAGGGAAGTTGCTTCTCCCTCCCCTGAATACGGGGGGTGAGCAACTCCAGGGGAGAACGTGTTGCTAGAAGGAACAGATTGGCCAGTTGGACTGGGAAAAAATCGCCCAGGGACTATGAACACCCGCCCAGAGACCCGGGAGGAGTGAGGGACTCTAGCTGACAGGACCAGGGGCAGCCTGGAAGGGCGCCTGCACCCCTAGCCCAGTGGAAGTGCAGATTGGTGGAGAGCACAGAGCCGGCTGCGCTCCACTCACGCCCCATAGGGAGGCCTGAATCGCGCCCTGCGTTCCGGGGAGGGACGTGGCGCTTGGTGCGTTCCTACAGTCGTGGCTCAGAAATTTCCAGCCAGCCCAACCGAGGGGGGAGCCGGAAAGGCGCCGACACCCGGTCAGAGTGCGGTTCGGCTGGGAACACGGAGCTGGAAACGGCTTGGCTCGCACACGTAAGGATGACTGACTCTCGCGCAATTTGATCCCGGAAGGGTCGCAGTGAGGCGCTTAGGGCAATCCTACACCCCGAATCTGAAAAGTTTGGGGGAGGAGCGTGCCCTTTTACAATCCCCAGGCAGGGCACAGTGAATCCCAAAACGTCGCGGGTGCCGCCTGAGATCATAGAGCTGGAAACTTGCAGGACCCCGGACTCCGGAAGAACGTGGAACTGAGATCCAAAGAGCCAGTGTATTCCGGAGAGCCCAGGCTACCAGACAGACTTGCTGAGATCTGGCTGGGAGAGAGAGAAGCATTTCAAAGGTCCCTCAGCCAGCTGAAGCCAGCAAGATCAGAAAAACTGGTCTGGCCAGTTAGAAACCAACAAGAGGTTTTGTTTGTTTGTTTGTTTGGTTGGTTGCTTTTTGGTTTTGTTTGGTTTCTCTGGCTGTTGTTGGTTGATTGATTTTATCTTGTGTTTTATGTGACATTTTATTTTTCAATTCTTATTATTTTTATCTCGCAATCCCTTATGTTTCTCTTCCATTCATCCTAATATTATTCTTTCCACTCCAAATTTATCTCTCCTGCACTACATCTTCTGCTTTTCTTTCCTTTTTTTAATCTTGCAAGTTAATGTAAATTTGTATTATCTTTTTCTCACTTTTCTGACATTTTTTATTTTAATAATTTTTTGGTATTCTTTTTCTTTCTGTATAATCTTCTTTGCTTGGCTGGTTACACTGTCATTTGATAGGTTCCCCCTGGTATCTCAGTCACAAGGTGTTGATAAGTTACTATCCTTCATCTGTGTTCCATTAATACACCTCTCAAGGTTCTATACTCTATTCTTGTTATCTAGACCTCATCGATTCTGCCACAAGACTGTCACTTTACTATTACTGCTAGTAAGACCTAGTCTATACAATTGTAAATGCTTCTCAATACCCCTACCTGATCTCAGCCCACTTTGCAATTTTCTGAACTATACTATTGTGGGGGTTGTCTCTATTCTTTTACTCACTACTCCTATATACTAATCTTTAGTCCAACCCTACCTTAGAATCTGACCTCCCACAGCCTCACAGCTTTCTAGATCCAACTAACAATCCTCTTGGCCCCAATAAGAGTCTTACCTTCTTTCCATCCTTTCTAAAACGTGGATAGTGGGGTGGAGGATCACGGTTAAAACTGTAAGGAGCCAAAGGATAACCCATCTCTTCTCTACTGGCTGCTAAAGTAAATATCATAGTATACTGTCTTGCTGTTTTAAACCATTTTGCCTTACTCCTCCAACTGATCCCAAAAAAGAGTAGGGGGAAGCTGTGAACACCAGGATACACGAAGGAGATTGCATCACTGAATCTCACAAATATTCCACCACAGAAGTTCACAACATAGTTACAGGGAATTAGAACAGATCAAATTAACAAACAAGAAGAAAAAAGAAGAAAGCTACCAACAATGAGAAAACAAAGAAACAACCCCCAACTGAAGGGAAACAAGGAAGCCTCAGGAAAAATGCTAAATAAAATAGAGGCAAATCAACTATCAGATAGTGGGTTCAAAACAATCATTACCAGGAAGTTCAATGAACTCACAATGAGCTTTCAGAAATTGGAGGGAAACTACATAAATCTCACTGCAAATTATATAAACATGAAAAAGGAAATAGAAACTCTCAACAAAGGTCAAGAGGAACTGAAGAATACAATTTCTTTTTTTTATTTAATTTAATTTTTTTATTTTTTTAATCATTGTTCAAATTCAGTTTTCTCCTTTTTACTCCAAATCCAGTCCTCCGTCCCACCTTCCCCACTTCCCTCCCATAACCACCCTCCCCTTAGTCTATGGCCATGTGTCCTTTAAGTTTGTTCCTGTGAACCCTTCCGACTGTCCCCTTAAATTCCCTCTTCTCTCCCCTCCGGTCACCATCAGCCTGTCCTCTATTTCAGTGTCTTTGGTTATATTTTGCTTGTTTCTTTGTTTTGTTATTTAGGTTCCTGTTAAAGGTGAGATCATATGGTATTTGTCTTTCACTGCCTGGCTTGTTTCCCTTAGAGTAATGTTTTCAGCTCCATCCAAGCTGTTGCAAAGGGTAGGAGCTCCTTCTTTCTTTCTGCTGCATAGAATTCCATTGTGTAAATGTACCATAGTTTTTTGATCCATTCATTTACTGATGGCCATCTTGGTTGCTTCCAGCATCTAGCTATTGTAAATTGTGCTGCTATGAACATTGGGATGCATAGGCTCTTTTGAATTGGTGTTTTAGTATTCTTAGGATAGAGTCCCAGCAGTGGCATTGCAGGGTCAAAAGGCAGATCCATTTTTAGTTTTCTGAGGAAGTTCCATACTGCTTTCCATAGTGGTT